TGTGGGTGCTTCCCCTCCATGTTGGCAGTGCCATCCCCCAGCAGCAGCCCATCACCCTGAGCCTTCCCTGGCATTATTTGAGGAACTCCATCCTGACCATAGGCACTACAGAAAGTTCCACTAATTCCAGAAGTGTGTGGGGCCTGGATGGCTGTGTTCTGCCTCCTCTGAAGATAAAGAAATAGGATTTACCAGAAAGTTGGGTCTGGCCCTTTTTCTTACATTTATTCTATGCTCATGAAAAAAGAATTTCAGACAGTTTGCTTTTAAGATGTGTTTGCAGGACCTTTACCTGAAGTGTTGCTCAATTCCAGGTTGCATATTACCTGTTACCTGTGGTTCATGTTAGTCAGGAGTTAAATAAAAGCTATAACTTGAAGGTATGACTATATAAGGTACAAGTTGGGAGGAGCAATTGTTTATATGGTGTGAATAAAAGTTTTCTGTTTGGAAAATGAAATTTCTTAGACATTTTGTGTGTTTGTCCATGGCATTTGCACTGAGAGTGTTTTGTAATGAGAACAGAAATCCTGTGCTATGTTTATTGTGACTTAATGCAGCAGATGGCTAAGCGTCACACACGCGTTTGGTCACTTACTTCCACCCTGCTTCCCAGTAGGATGGAGAGACTCGAGAGAAAAACAGAAGCAAAATAGAATTCATGGATTGAGAAAAAAACTATTTATTAAGACAGAGAAAAGAAGAAGAGTGATAGTTATGTCTTCCTCTCCCTCTCCCATGTGATGTGCGAGCAATTGCTCACCACCCACCAACCAATGCCCAGCTGGCTCCCACAACTGGCAAAAGACCATGAGATGAACTCTCAGACCCTTCAAAACTCCTTCATGCCAGCAATGTGCCCAGGTGGCCAAGAAGGCCAATAGCACCCTGGCTTGTATAAGGAATGGTGTAGGAGCAGGACTATGGAAGTCATCCTGCCCCTGTACTTGGCACTGGTGAGGCCTCACCTCGAGTACTGTGTTCAGTTTTGGGCACCTCAAAGCAGAAGGGACATAGAGGTGCTGGAGCAGGCCCAAAGAAGGGCAACAAGGCTTGTGAAGGGCTTGGAGAATGTGCCCTATGAGGAGAGACTGAAGGAACTGGGCCTGTTTAGTCTGGAGAAGAGGAGGCTGAAGGGAGACCTTATTGCTTTCTTCAAATACCTGAAAGGTGATTGTAGAGAAAGCAGGCTTGGTCTCTTCTCGCTGATGACAGGTGACAGGTCGAGGGGCAATGGCCTCAAGTTGTGCCAGGGAGGCTTAGGTTGGATATCAGGAAAAACTTCTTTAAAGAAAGAGTTGTTAAGCACTGGAATAGGCTCCCCAGGGAGGTGGTTGAGTCACCATCCCTGTGAGTGTTTAAAAACCATTTGGATGTGATGCTCAGGGACATGATTTAGCAGAAGATTGAGTTAGGGTAGTATGGTTAGGTTGTGGTTGGACTTGATGCTCTTTAAGGTCTTTACCAACCTGAGCAATTCTATGATTCGACATGATGTTAAATAGTACAGAATATCCCTTTGGCCAGTTTGTCTTGATTCCATGCCCTTTCAGCTCCTTGTGCCCTTTGCTGAGAATGGCCGTGGCTCTGTACAACACTGCTTAGCAGAACTATGGACAGCTATGTGTTATCCACATTGTTTTCATCCTAGAACCAAAACACTGCATCATACCAGACACTCTGAAGAAAACAATTCTATCCCAGCTGAAACTAAGCCAATGTGCAATACCAAAATGAGAAAAATGATGAATCCTTATTTGACTGAGAAGCATAGCTGAAGACAAAGTGATACTGAAGAGAAATTCAAATGTTTGTCTGGTAATTTTATCAGCAGTGATGCTTTCCTGCGTTCATTGGAATTATCCATTTATTACCTTAGGTAGGAAGGACTTAGCAACACCGAAGAGGTCAGGGAGTTATTTTCCTTATCTAGCACATCTGAAGGCTTGCAGTGTCATTTTGTATTTTCATGTAAAAATAATCAAAGGATGGAAAACTTAAAATTATAGAGTCATAGAATCCTTCCACTTGGAAGAGACTTCTGAAGGCCATCTAGACCAGCTCTCCTGCAATGAACAGGGACACCAGAGCTAGATCAGGTTGCCCAGGGCCTTATCCTGCCTCACCTTGACAGTCTCCAGGGACAGGGCATCAATCACATAACTGGGCAACCTGTTCCAGTGCCTCACCATCCACACCAAGAAAGCTTCTTGTATCTAACCTATATCTACCCTCTTTGACCTTGAAACCATTTCCCCTTGTTCTGTCACCACAGACCCTGCTGAAGAGTCTTTCCCCTTCTTTCCTGCAGTTGCCCCTTAGATACTCACAAGCCGCTATCAGGTCACCTCCCAGCCTTCTCTTCTCTGAGGAGAAAATTCTGTGTTCTTGGTTGTTGGTGTTGTTCCTTTTTACACCTGAAACTGAAGTTTCTTATCTGAATAGAACTAAGATAATAAAGCAACACAAAGAAATAATGTTGGGTAGTTCAAGAAATGCCACAGTGCTACAGCACTGCTGCCTGAAGGAACATACTCTGTGAAGTCTGGGCATCAACTGTGTTGCTTAGAGCAAAGAGCTTTTTCCATAAAATAACATTTAAGTTTATTTCTGATAAGTAAATGTGCTAACATTCAGGCTACTTTAGTGATTAGTCACTTGTCGCCAGTTTTATGCCAATAAGTTAAAAAAATAAAATGAAACTGAAATTGCTCTGTTACAGTCTGATCAGAGCAAGGAGTGTCTGAAGCAGACAGAACTTCTGTGTTTATTCTTCTAAGTTTATCCATATTTTAGTCTCATCTTTTTGAATCCATGTGTCTTTATTTCTCTGTCTTGTTATAAAACAATGCTTGAGAGCCTCAAAGATGCTGCCGCTCATATTTGGGGAGGAGGATGGGAAAAACTTCTGGGGCAATCTACATGCAATGCTCCCTACGTATTTAGAAGGAAACCATAGCAGGTACAAAGAGCATAGTAGCACAAACTGACTGAGCAAATTGTCAGCTACAAAACGCTATTTTTCAGCACTGTCACCACTGTTAGTCATGCTGTGCTCATACAAATCTGCACCAGTGGAGGTGACCCATTGCTGTCACCACTGCTGAAATGCACTGCTCATCACATCACTGCTCACTTCCACTACTCAGTTTCCACTGACGTTCAGCAACCATTGATGAAAATCATTAGGTGCAATATTTTCCACGCAGAGGAATTCAGTGACACACTTTGCTTCATCTACACTTCGATGTCAGACACCATTCTGTCAGACTGCCCCACTGCTGCCATCTGTTGCATGGTAACAAAATGGAACAGAATGTTAGTGGGAAGATTCATCCCCTATTGCCATACTACCACCAACATCCACCTCCGATGTTGTGAGCCAACAAAATAAATAGGATGCTTTACCTTCAGAGCAGCCCTCATATAACATCAGTGGAAAAAAAGGTACTTGGGGGCCTGTTCTCTCTGGTGATTTTCCAAAGGCCTTGATGGCTTGGAAACCACAGTGAGAGCTATATTAAGGCCTAGATAAACTGATTAGTTATGTGACGTGCATAACTCCGTTTAATGCACGTGTCAAATTGAGACTAGACCCCTTAAGGCTAATTCGCTGCCTCATTAGAAGCCAGTAAAATTCCTTCAACATCAAGTAATGTGTTTAAAATGTGCTGGCTTTGGCAGGCAGTCTGTTCAAAATGTAACTTTTTAAGGTGCACCTGGCAAACAGTACCTTAAAATCCAAAGGTGACAGAAGCATGGACCACTTTTGGCCATGTGGAAGTGTGATATTTGTCAAATGCTATAGAACATGATGAAGGGGAAGGGGCTTTGATATATTCATAATATTGACTCATAATCAATTTTCACGCTATCTGCAATTTACATAGGCATAGATGAGCTTGAAATCCATCAGATTAACATGTCAAAGGGACATGCTGTACATTTGTTCCACCTAAGCCTAACTGGCAGTTCAGGCTCTCTGGAAGAGATAAATCAAGAGCAAACTAACCACATCAGATTACTCAATTTACTACCTCGAAACTATTCTTAAGCTAAAAAAGGGGCATCTTACACATTAACCTATCTGTCTGCCTGTCCTTCCTTCATCCAGTTGTTGCACAATAGAACTGGCTTTTTGGCAAAGTGATGGTAAAACTAACGGTGTCCAAATGTTTCAAATCAAAGACAAGAACAATGCTTTGGGAGTCCATTTTCTAAGATTCTAATGAAGAGGGACAGGCAATTATTATTATTTATTTCACTAATTAGCTGGATAATCATTCATTATGAAATTCTTCTGTGTTAGAAATATACTTCTTGTACAGTTTCCTTAATTCAATTTCCTTTTGATCAAACTGAACCATTGTGTGCCGCCTTTTATTAGTGGGGTAGGGGAGCACTTTGGAGGAAAAAAAGAAAGAAAAAAGCAGGTTAGTTTCCAAGCTGTGAAGATAATGCAACACGAAGCGACAGTCCATAAAAACATCACCTTTCAGTCTCTGAAGACATAATGCTTTATGATAACCATAAAACATTTTAGTGCAAAATAAATTGCTGTCCTATTCAAATCCTTAAACGTACTACAGTGGATGTCACTGAAGACATACAGCTATTTTTTCCAATACTGAGATATATTTTATCATAATTTGTGGTGTAGGTGACAACCTTGTACACATGATTGCCTTTTCTTGCTTAGTTAGTTTGCCAAGGTCAGAGTTCTTTGGCCTTTTATGGCTGTAGGACTATTAGGAAGTAAATAGGATAACCAAGTATCATGAAAAGAAAACTTGTTTCCTTGAATTGTTAAGTATATACCTCTTACAGATTTCATAGTGTTCTGAGTGTATGCTTAGTGAAATCGATCCCTTTATTATAAATGCTTTAGCAAATTCTTAGCACCTGTAAAACATTCAGATTTTCTCAATTTTCTCTTGTTTCTTTTCTCTCTTTAAATTAAATTTGGGTTGATTTTTTTTTTTTTTTTCCTCCACCTTTAGCTAACACTAATATTGGCTTTGGAGCTGCTGTGAGGGGAGTGATGACTGTGAACTAAGGGAAAATATTGCAGCTACAATTCAGAAGTCTTGATCCAGGTAAGCACCTCAGTTCTCCATAGTCGAACTCTTCATATGTCATTTCATATTTTGCCACTGGTGAGGTCCTGGAGATGGGCAATCTTGAGGATTTTCTGGAATTTAATGTTAAAAGTGAACAAGAAAACATTAGAGAAGAGGTTTTATTCTGAAGTGTTATTGCGTTCCTGCTGCTGCTAATCATGAATTAGGCCTTAGGAAGATGACATAGGAAAATGATGAATTATTTAAGAGACATCCTTCTCCACAAATACAAGTGTTTTCCTTGGCCGATTTGTTCAGATTTGTTACAAAATATGTCAGTGTTGAGTGGAATAAAAGAACCCGTACTGATAAAACAATGTGGATCAATAGAGATGCGATAAGACCTGGTTGCTGACATTTGTATAAATGATATGCAAGTCTGATGGAAAATAAATTCAAAATGTGTTTTAAATGTTTATCTTCAAAATGTACTGAAGTTGAAACAGAAAACTGGCAACGATTAAACTTTACCATCTGTCTTGAGTTGTTGGGAAGAAATTGTGTGCAGTCCTCCAAGAAAACTAGTATCTTTACAAGTGTAAGTAAAAATTCAGCCATGCGCTTTCATTTGTATGTTGATTGGTGGCAATGCTTTATTTAACAGTGAGAAGATTTTCCACTCTGGTTTTGAAGATCTGTTATTCTTTGGTCAGTGAACAAAGGTTTCTAGCATTCAACATGTTACTAAATATCCTATACAAGATGATATGTAAAATTGCCCAGTAGTTCGCTCCAAGTAATTTTTCCCAAACTAAAGGGTGAAATTTGAAATGATCAGAAATCATACTGATGTGGTGGAGATCTGAAGAGACAGCATTTGAGTTTTTAAACCTGTGCCATTTGCACGATCCAGATCATTTGAAACTCATCTCTCATCCCTTAAAATAATCTTATAAAAGGTTTTAAATTATTAACCATGTTACCAACGTGTTAAAGGATTGTGTATTTGAAATAAGGGTTGTTCACTCATAACCAATGGATAAAAGAAGCTATAAGCAACTTCTTAGCCTTTTAGACTTACAACCACTTGTCACAGCATCTATAATGTATAGACCTTTATTAAGCTATTTAGAATTGTTCAATTAATGTGATGTTATTTTCTTGAAATGTTCATCTTTTGCTTGGCAACCCATACCATGTAAGAAAATAGTTCCCCTGGGAGACAAGGAAATTGGGTCTTTAGTCTCTCATATTTAATGTTTTTCTAGTTGTTCCTCATTGGTTGTTGACAGTTTGTTTTAGATTTTACAAATAATATAAGCAAGCAGCACTAGTAGTGTTTGGCTTTTGGATTCAGCAGATGCATACATTTTAATCTAAATGACAATATTTAGCAACAAAATTGCTTCATTTTAACTTCACTGCATTTCTTAATCTATGGGATCTATAATTTAAAAATAATGAATGCAACAGGGTGAATATATGTCTTCCATTAATTTCAAATACTGCTTATTTCCAGCATTTTTTAATTATTTGAGTATACTTCTCAATATATTTAACTGGAGTGGAAAATCATTCAAATCTCAGACCATTTACAATTATCAGCATATCTGTAACTTTGCATCCAAATTATTGAACTTTAGCATAATATTTCTTTTTGAGTATCTATTTTTCCTCTGTGTTGGAAAACACTAAAATAGTCAAGAAAAATGTTTTGGAAGATGCAGGTTTCATAAACAATGTTATCATAGACCATTTTAATTTACACGTCTTGTGTGTAAGCAGTGTTACAGAACTGACTTAAGGATGTTCAGTATTGTAACTAAGAATATGTGAGGCGTCTTTCATCCTTCTGTCCTATTAAAATGGTGCATTCTCTGAGTGGCAGCAGTATACAGGCAGTGGAGGATTTTTGGATCATCTAGAACAATTGGCTTTAATGCCCCTTTCACATCATAACTGCAAGCACGGTAAGAGCTGTAAGGGCAATTACTCACATATGTGAACTTTGCTTATCTACCTTGTGGATCTGGAATGAAACTTTGTCCATTTAGGGAATATTATTTTTTCTGATTGTTGAGACTAAATGCTGAGTTCTTTTCTTGCTATTGACATAATGGTTAACAAAATTTCGTAGTAGCATGGAGTGGTGGAAGAAATATGCTTATGTCATAAGCCTTACAGATGCTGGACACAGAAAAAGCACATAGTGGGAAATGTGTAATCTTTCCCTCTTTTTCCTGCCTGTACCCCAAACTTCTTAATGATGAGTAGGCTTTTGTTCTGAATTTTGTCCTGCTGGTGCTTTTTAGAGCACATGATTTGTATCCCATGTTTGCACTTTCCCTGCCTTTTGATGACTAGAAACATTAGAAGATTGACAGCTGGAAAAAAAAAAAAAAAAGATGAATATATTTTCAAGTTTTCTTTTTGACATTTATGTGCATGTTATGCTCAAATAGACCTGGGTCATCATGAGGAATTAGTTCAAATATTGCGGTGTGATGGATAATAAGCATTTATACAAGGAAACGTCACTTCCCTTGCTGCTTGATAAGGAAGCAGAAACACCTAGTTTATTTCTATTTTTTAAATCAAAATCAGAGTTCAGAGTTCAGCAGTGTGAGTATGCTCTATCTGTTTGGTTGGGTTTTTTTTTTTTTGTTTTTTTTTTTTCCATTGAAAAAAGTTAATAAATTTTCAACGCTCAGGGAACTTTATACTGACTGGAGCAGCATATTGTGTCCATACTATGTTTAGCCACCAATTTAGTTGGCTCACATTTTTGCTTGCCACAGTCATGGTCAGTGAGAGAAAGCAGGGTTTGGGCCAAAGTCCTTGTGCTTTCACATAAGAAAGTACTGTGGTGTTTTTTTTTCCTTCTGTGTCACATGAGAAAATTTTGTCAAACTGGGAAAGGTAATGAGGGCTGGGAAAAGAGAAAGTTTCAAGAGTTCTGCCATATAACTGACAGGTGATTACTGTTGAATTCCTTCATTGACTCCAAGGTTAGTTTTCTCATCTTGTTCTTCAAGGTGTTGTGCACTCTGCCTTCTTTTGCATTTGTACACAAACTGTGAGTTCTCTCTCTTCATGTCTCTTAAGCTGCAACACCAACTCTTCTTATCTTTGTGCTACCTTTATGATACCTATGATATCCCTTCACAGAGGGACCTCCAGAATGCTCATCCTCTTTTGCATGGATAGTTGAAGTCAGTCTCTCAAAGAAAGTGTGTGTTTGTGATTCAGCTCTGTAATTCTGTTAGCTGATATTTTATTCCAGAGCTATGTCATCCTCAGGTTTCAAGTTGTGATTCATCGCTATGCAAGTGCCACACATCACTGACAATAGTCAGTAAGGGGCTGAGGAATGACCATGTATCAAGTACTGGAACGCTCCTTTTCAATTGCAGGTGTTATGAAAATTTCAGTTAAAAATTCTGAAAGGCAAATAAACCACTAAGGAACTGATGTGTGCATAAGGAATCCAGCAGCAACTGGGTCACTCAGAGTGTATATTATCACTGTGATCTCCCAGAGTATAAACACTAGTCTTCTTTTATCTCTAGTAGCCCACAGTTTTTCTGTTTGTGTTCCCCATGCTCTGTTACTGGCAACCGGTAGGTAGGTGCTTGTGGTTCTCTTTTCTGAGAGACATCAAGACATCCAAGTCTGTAGGAAATACATAGCTGTTCAAAGTGATGTATACCCTTATTCAGAAAGTTCACCTGAAACACTCACTCCCAAGTGACTGACCCAGGTTATCTTAATTGGATAGCTAACAATGACATGCTGATGATTAGATATGCAAAATAAAATTATCATTTTCGATTGCCAGGAGTTTATGAGGGTGTGAGAATTGTTCATTTGTATAAAATATCCTTTTTTGATTGGAAAAGAGTGCCTCAAAATTCCAGACTAGTTTCTGAGATTTTGCCTTTTTTGTCTTTCAAGTATTCTAATATACAGGTAAGGATGTGGTTATTCACAAGATAAAGGCCTCAAAACTGAGAAACTTGATGAATCAGAAACTGATACAACTGTAAATACAGCTTAATTATTTCATTCTATCCCACCTGTTTCCAAAGAACAAAGGCAAAAATCACGTGTCAAATTTCATTTCTGTTCACGTATTTCTGAATGGATTACTACCCCTCACTGCCCCTCCCAACAGGAGTTCAGAGAAGTGCAGCAAGACCTTATTATTCTGTTTATGATAGGAGGTCCTATCCTAGTACTATGCAGTCCATAGTAAATCCATCTGCAGAATTAATTCTGGGGTTGTGAGAGAGGTATGCAAGTAAAAGCTGTAATGATTTACAGTTTGAAGACACAGCTGATAGGAAAATAAACATTGAATCAGTTTCCTCTATATGTCTTGGTTCAATTAGAATAATGACAGTAGGTGATATTTTTCACATTTTAATTGGTGTTTTGCTGATTTTATCAGAATTTCTGCTGATCAAAGCAAATTGACTATTTATTTATTTTGCAGTGATGCTAACTATTCAGTGCAAGTTTAATGTACTGTAATGAATTTTAAATATCTTCCTAGTCATTGCAAGTGTGTGAATCTAGTCTCTCTCATAAAAGTTTAAATAATTAATTGAGTAGCAAAGAAAGGTAACATTTAATATAACAACTTTTTAAAAAATACTTCACTGCATGTTTTAGAGTACTATCTCAAATTAGTATAGCATATTTCTGTTCTGTGCCCCACTTGCACACGTCTTGCTTAACCCAATCCTGGCTCCATGGTTTTAGACTGATAGTGAATACCTTAATTATTAGTTTATTTCAGTAGCTTACCGAATGATAAGTTTTTGTGTTATTTATACTTCAGTGACTTTGGCTTAATTGGTTTCTTTTATATTATTTATCCATACAAATATATCACACAAGTTCTTTTAGTATTAATGATGCATTTTATGTCATAGTATTATTTTCTACCTATAATGACATGCCATAAATCGACCTCATAATTATAAAAGAACCAAGCTAAAAAATATATATGTAACCTAATTGAAGTAGTTTGT